AACTATTGTGCCCTTGTGTCAACTTTTTCTGGCTTTAACAAACCTGAACCCATGGTTCAGGTGTAGTATCTATTTCCTTTGTGAACTGGTGGGCAGTACATTTGGTTTTATATTGCCTTGTATAAATCAAATCAATGTAAAATGAATTACATCCCTGAATGGTGTTCCCTTCTCTCATTGTGACTCGTGTTTCCTGTGGCCTGAATTTTTATAGTATGTGAAGTGTAAAGCTGATATGCAACATACATACAGCTGGTTTCAGTATCATGAAAAAGAGAGCTTATGGAGCAATGGATACTGAGTTTGCACTCCTTAATCTAAGTGACTCAGTAACTTATTATGGACAGTTTCCTTTCATATGCTTGACTCTTTGACACATTGTTCATTTTCATACCAAGGAATTTCCAATTAAAATTTTGTCTTCTTTGCAAATTTTCTGCAGTGTGGTCAAGTGTGGTTTTTATTTATTTATTTATTTTTGGTTATGCATGTTATTTAACAGGAAAAGTATTCCTCTCCTTGCTTTGTCATCAATTTCAAAAGAGATAAGATTCCACCACAGACTTGGGACTTCTCAAATATAACACACCTTTGAGTTCACAGAAGGTCAAATACACTTCTGTGCAGGGGGTTAGCACAAATCTTATCATTGTGAAAGCACCTCATAAATCTTGAACGTAGGATTTTTCTTTTTATGGAGATCATTTTTGCCTAACTCAGGTGCATTTTGTAGTGAATGGGAATGTGAGTGTTTGGAGAGGCCTTTAAATGTCGACTGTGGTTAAGAAGCTGATTACAGTGCAGATATGGACATTGCAATGCGGTCTTTGTTATCAGTGATCACAGTGTTGATTTCTTCCTGAAATTAAAAACATGAAATTTGACCTACTGGATTAAATTCCAGATGATCCTGTGTCTCTATTCTGGTTTTGCCTAACCAGGGGTGAGTCACTTCAACTTTTTTAAGTAAGGAGAACGTAAAATATAGGATATTTCCTTTGTGCCTCGTATAGCAGCAGATGTTAATTAATGTGTCTGCAACTTCACAAAGTATATACAATACACAAAAGCATAGCTCCTCATGTAGCTTTTTTCCCCAGGGCACAGAAATTCGTGTCTACTTTAGACAAATTTTATTTTCTCCATGACAGATTTGTTGATATTTAATGACTGGAATTCAAGCTGTGTTTATGGATTACAACTGGTTGCAATCTGTAAGACTTGTTCATCCCTAACTATGCAAATTTAATTCTGATCCTATGTTTCAGAGAAACTGCTTGTTGAAGCAAGATTTGGAATTTGTTTTCCATTAATATTTAAGCTTGAGCTTAAAATTTTCACTAACAAAATTCAGATACATAATTATACCTTGAAGATTAATATGGAAAGATGAGTAAGCTGGTTGGAAAAATTTAAAAAACCTTGAAAACTCAAGCAAGTATTTACAGCGAGTATTTATGCACTTCTTACCTGGATCTAGCAGAAAATTTAGAAGATAAATGTATTGTCATGTATTTCACTCTTTCCTTTTATCTGTTTTGTTGTAGCTCTAAGTTTTTTATTTGCTTGTTCACTTTTTTGTTTGTTCATTTGTGATTTTCTTGGAGACTGGATTTATTTACTTTCAAGCTACTACTGAGTCACAATATTTTTAAGGTTGGAAAAAACCTCATGAGATCTCCTCCTGCCCAAGGATGGTTAGCTAGAGCTGGTTGCCCAGGACTATGCACAGGCAAGTTTTTAGTATTTCCAAACGCAGAGACTCCACAGACATTCTGGACAGCATAATCCAGTGTTTGATCACCTTCCCAGTAAAATGTGTATTTTTTATTAAGTTGGAATTTTATATATTTGAATTTGTGCCTTCTGTCTCTTGTCCTGACACTGGGCACTTCTGAGAAGTAGTCCGGCTTAATCTTCATTCCTTTCCATCATGTCGTTATATACATTGATTAAGATCCCACCAAACCTTTCTTTCCTCCAGGCTGAGTGATTTCAGCTTCTCCTTATATGAGAGGTATTCTAATTCCTTAGTCATCTTTATGGATCTTTGCTGAGCCATTAAGTCCCCGTGTCTCGTGTACCAGAGAGCCCAGCACTGGACATAGTATTCTAGATTGGTAGAGATGAAGAACTTTCTTCAACCTGCTGGCCTATGGCAGCCTAGGATGCTGTTGGCTTTCTCTTTTGCAAGGGCATATTGTTGCCTCATGGTCAACTTGTTGTCCACCAGGACCCTGAGGTCCTTCTCTGTAGTTATTTTGCAGTCAGCTCTGCATATAGTGTTCCCTGAAGGTTTTTCCTCCCCAGGTGCAGGACTTGACATTTCCCTTTGTTGAATGTAGTGAGATTCCTGTAGGCCTCTTTTCTAGACTTTCCAGGTCCATCTGAATGGCCACACAACCCTATCATACTCATATCAACACATATCAGCTACTTCTCCCTGTTTTATATAAACTGGATACTCACAGAAGGTATCCTCTGTCCCATTGTCTAGGTCATTCAAGAAGATGTTAAACAATACAGACACAATATTGACACCTGGAGTATGCTGCTAATGACATGCCTCCGACTGCAACTTTCTGTGGCTGTGTAACAGAGCTCTGGGCTTGGATGTTTAGCCAGTTTTCAATCCAACTCACTGTCATCAGTTTGTCTCTGGCTATGTTGTGTGGGAGAAAGCTTTACTAAATTCAAGGTAAAAGCTATTCATTGCTGTCCAGTTATCCATCAAGCTACTTACCTTATTGCAGTAGTCTATCAGGCTGGTGAGGGATGATTTCTCCTTTGCAAACGCTGGTAGCTTTCATGTACTTTAACTGTGGGTAAGCCTTTCTTGAACCAGAAATAAATCTGTTAGACTCAAAGTAGAGCAGCATGCAGCCATTATTACTGAGCCTTTTGATTTAATCTAATGCGACATTATTTATTTGTTTCCATTTGAGTGATACTGAAAGATACTGAGCATCCTAAATTCCTCCTGCAGTCTCTTGGCGTCAGTATTCTCACTGTCATTTTCCAGGATCAACCTCTTCAGTGTTGCTTATGTATAAACTTGAGAAATGAATCTTGAAGATATGACATACATTTTGTTTGTTATTTTAGGCCACTTTTACTTGATCTGATCTTCAAGGTCAGTGTTCTGTTCTATTTTTTAGGATAAACAAATCTGTATCCTTCTTTGACCAGGACATCACATCCTAAAAATATGTATGACAGAGCTGCAGTTTACATTATATTTCTGTAGTCAGTTGGTTTTTATAGCCAATAAGAAAGAAGCATAGCATTGTTCCCTGCCTGGATTTATGGCCATGCCTTCATTATTTCTATAATTCTTTATTGCAGCAACTCCTGGGAAAGTTTATATTTGACTAAGGTAGATGTGCTAAGCTGTGATAACATCAAATATGAAAAAGCTGTAATGTTAGGTTGCTCCAAAATTAGTGCCTCCTATTTATTTCCATGGATACTCCAACAGAGAGTACAGCAATTATACTAGTTGATAGATTAGCTACAAAACATGATTTTTCAATATAGTCATCACCATTAGCTATGCCTTTTTGCCAGCAATGAACAAAAGCCTGCATGCTGTGCTTGTAAAAATTTGCACCAGTGGAGAAGAGCCACTGTTACTGCTGTTACTGCTGAAATGCACCACCCATTTCTTCACTGTGCTCACATTCACTGTTTGGTCTCCACAGATATTTAGCAAGCACCAATGAATGTCAGTGGGTACCATTTTTTTCCGCTTGGAGGAATTCAGTGACACACCTTTGATTCATCCCTGCTTCCATATCAGATATTAATTTATCAGACTGCCCCTCTGCTGCCATCTGTCACATGGCAACAATATGCAACGGGATGTTGGTGGGAAGGTTCGGCTTCTTTTGCCATACCACCAACATCCATCTCTGACCTTGTGGACCAACACAATAAAATAGGAGGCATTACTTTTGGAGCATCCCTGGTACAATTAGAAGACTGTACAAGCTGTTTTTTTTTTTTTTTTTCTCCACAATATGTGTTTGCTGTTTACCAAGGCCCTTCACACTTAAGAATATTGCTAGGCCATTTTAAAATTTCTATGTAATGTTTTCTGAATGTATCTATGGCTAGTGACAACTCTTCTATGTAATCATGTGTCGTAAGTGTCTATAGGCAATTTACACGTTTCAATGCATTTATAGTCCAGTTTTTGTTTGTATTTTTGTTGTTGTTTCGTTCTTTTAATCTTCTCTCACTTCTCAGTTACTTTATTATGACTTCTTGTAGGTTTTCTTACTGTACTTCACATGGACTGATTTATTTAAATATTTTATTTTGTTGAAAATATATTAAAATTAGCACATTATTTTAATTTTTACTTATTTCTCTATTAGAAACTGATCCCTTTTGTTGTTATTATTTTATTAGCAGCAGCATTTTACCCAGACTTTTATGCGGGTTTGTGTGTATGTGTGTTCTGACTTCTGAGAAAGAAGAGATAGGAAAAAATCTCTGTATTTACAAAGAGTTTCATCCTGCGTCTGTAATCTGTTCTTCCTCACTTCTCTTGGATATTTAAAAGATATTCTGGATATGTTAACAGAAGGTCATTTCCATGGGAGACTGCTGGGAAGAGCTGGCAAACTAAATAAAAGGAGAAAGAGCGTAAGAAATGTTAATGTCACCATTTTACTGATGGGGTTATGATAAACACACTGAAGTCACAGATTAACCCTGACGCAGAGCCAGCAACTGAACCCTGCAGCACAGACTCTGGCTTTAGAAAAGTCATAGCATCTTTTTATAAGGAGTTTTGTCACGAGTGGCAGTGAGTCAGAGGTAGTAAAAACTAAACGACTTGCTGTTGATTTCTTTATAATGGCTTATATCTTACACCCATAGCAGCAATACTGGAAATACACTTATAACAACCGTATTGAGTAAAGTTGTCTCAGCCATCATCTATTTCATTATTAGGAATGCTGCGTGTTATAACACTCCTTTTTTCCCCACAGTATTCTTGGTAATGGTCTGACAAAGGTAATTAATGAAATGCTGTTTCCAACTTCAAATTGTAAGTAAGTTTACCCTTCTGCTTCTGAAAGCTATCCTTGTAGTGAAGCAATGAGGACTTCCGTCTATTATTTGTAAACTGTCGAAGGCTGAATAATCTATTGCATTATAAGCAGCACTCTCACACACAGATATTCACATACACTGCAAAAGAATTTGTGCTTTGTCTGGAGTAAAATGAAGTCCCAAAGGTAATTTCTGTACAGTGTGGGAAACCGTGTCTCCTGCAGGAAATTTATAGCTGTGATTGTTTCAGAGAAATGAAAACTGTAGCATCAAATGTTTTTAACAAAAATATTTGATTGTTTCATGTTTTACATCTGACTCATGCACTGCAAATTTAAAGAAGTTATAAATCCTGGACAAAGTTTTAGGTCACTTCGTAGGAACTAGTTTGACTAACTTCATTATATTGTTTCTGTCACATTATAAAGTGATTTACTGAATACACGTTTAATTTGCGCTCATTGTGGTCTACATTAAACATAACAGGGTTTATACTAAGGTTCATAAAAACCCATTTGGGAACAACATTAGAAGATAATTAAAAATAATCATTTATTTCAGTTTATAACTGAGAATAGTTGTGCAGAAATAACAGGTTATTGGTCTTAAGAAGGGCTCTTTTTCCACCTTATTTAAATGTAACTGAGTCCTGTAAGAGTGATGACCAATCAGATGAAAGCCTGTCCCTATGTATCCTGAGGCATTTGTTCAGGTCTTGCCCAGGAGTGATGTGGGCAGCCATTTCCAATGGCCCTGCTGTGGTTGGACAGGATGTATGGAGATGGTCAGTCATGGCAACCATTGAACAGTCCCTTACATGCTGTTTGCTATAGCAACTGACATCAGCGTGCTGATGAGTTTTCTCATCTGTTATGATTAATTTACTGTACAGCTAAGGATTTGTATGAAGGAGGGGGAAATGAAAATTTTTAGACTTTCTGCTCTTTTAATGCTTGGCTTTATAAAATAAATTTTGAAAATAAAAAAGTATATGTATCAAAACAGAATATGATAACTATTTTTTTGTTTGTTTTCATGAAAGAGCAGGAAGCTACTTTCCTAATCTGACACTACTCTGGAAAAAAATTACAAGTAAATTGTTTTGCTATGTCTTTTCCTCCATGCATCCCTCACACACTTTTTGGGAGCTGGGACAAAATCCACTCTCTCATACTTGCTGCCCTTCCTCTTTCCAGCTGCCCTGTTTCTCTGACAACGTATTTTTGAGTGCGCTGTTTCCCTTTTGTTTTAGCTTCTGTGTCGGTGGAATGAGCATAAAAACGGCTTGCCTTTTCCACAACAGCTGTCAGCCAAAGCTTATACATCAAATACACATTAAGTTCAGTACATGCTAATGTCGAATAAGGACAGGGCAGTAATTATTATTTATGTGGATTAGTTGATTATAGCAATAATCAAAGTGAAAGATGAAATTTGCCTCTTTGGACTTGAGCAGATTTGAGAGGCTGTGGTAGTCTTGTCCTCTGACTTTCTACTGAGATGAATTTTATCCCTAAATACAAAAGTATTCCGAAAGTAACACTGAATGTATCTTCTAATATATAAGAAAAGCACTACATTCCAACTTTCACTTAAATTATTCACCCGTTTTTCCTCAAGTTTTTTTAATGTGACTTAAATACAAAGAACTCAGACTTTTACCATCTTGGAACTGCCTTGTAAGGGATGCCAGGAGTCAGAGAGAAGCACCAAATTGTTGCTTCAAAGCTATCATTCGCTCTCTGGGTTTTGGACCAGGCAAAAGGCTAGTGAACTTATTTTAACTCCATACTTAAAGCAATTCCTTCCAGTATCCTTTTTTTTTTTTTCCCTCCTTAAATCTCTTAGCGTAATCTGAGTATTCTGCTAAGACGCAGAGCTGTTCTTGTTCGTTTTTTTTTAAGAATGTTGAGGAAAAATGGGAAGGATAGATGGATGATGCAGACACAGCTAGCTATATGCCTACAAAATATCTACCTACCAGCTATATCTCCTCTCTTGCCTAGTTACACTAATAATTTAAAGATAAACATCAGACATTTTTCAGCAACCCCCACACTGAAACAATTGCATGTTTCATAGTTTCCTAAAGCCTTCATGAAAGTCAGCAGATTTATGGTTTAAAGAAAAACACGCTATCACATTCAACAGCTTGCAAAAATAAACTTCCTCCCAAATTTGACGTTCCCTGATTGTGGTGCAATTTTTTTTTAAAGGGCAGTTACAGCTTAAGACTTCTGTAATTGTTTAGTTGAAAGTTGCTTGCTGTTTCTGTGAAGTGTTCACACTGCTTGTCCATGTACTTCTGTTTGCTCCTGCAGTCCACTAGCGCTATGCTTGCTCATAGCACTAAATGCAACTCATTGCTAGTACATCATACAAAAGCTGATCTTAATAAAGAAAACATAATCTTCAACCCCTGAAAACATATGTATTCGTGTAGAAATTACTTTTATTCTCTAGAAGCTCATCAGGTTTTTTGGGATGGACTACACTTCTGGAGCTCCGTTCTAACCTCAGAAGATCACAGTTCTTCTCACACCGCCTTCATGTTCATGAGCAGTTTTGGAAATGGGGGTGATTTTTTTTATCTTCAGGTTCTCAATCCAGTCTCCCAGGTGCGATTATCTCCAGAACACTCATTTTCCACCTGATACCTGAACGTGGCACAAGGAAAACAGTGGTAGATCTAACTCAATATCTGGTTAAAGATCATGCATAAAATGAAATGAGTCTTCAATGTTTTCTGACTCTTCCTGATTAAAGAGTTGTTTTCACTTCTTTGCATAATATATTTGCATAATATTTGTTTGTCTAATGCATCCATTTGCCAGTTATGGTCCCAATATTTCCTGTACCTACAGGAACTACCACTTCTATCAAAACGTGTTTGACCTTACTTTTATGGACTTGGATCAAAATGACAGTGTAAGGAACAATACATTCAGTCACTCAGCAAAGCCCATAGAATCCTGCATACTGCTTGGAAATGCAACCCCGGTAAAATCAGGGAATTAGGAGATGTCTCAGAAAATATATCTGGACTCCATTTCACTTATTTTCTGATGTACTATTAAAAACTTGGTTATGTCATAAATGTATTTGTTGAAATGATTTATACGTCTGGTGGAAAGTGGCACTTCATCAGGATTACAGTTCTTTTTTGTTTTGTGTTTTTTCTTTTTCCTGATATATTCTAGATTCACTAAAATATTCATCAAGAGAGATTCTATGACTCTGAGGCAGAACTTAATGGGACTAGGACTGGGGTTGATTGTTGAGGATACCTGTTCAGAGGCCAAAATGTTCGTATAAAGTGTTATTATTTGCAATCATATTCCTGGCCTGATCCAGCAGGAATTATATAAACACCAGTACGGTATGTGGCCACTAATTATACAAGATATGCTCCAGTAGTAATGCCTCCTATTTTCTGATATTGGCTGTGGTGTCAGGCAGATGTTGGTGGTATGGCAGTAGAGCTTGAACCTTCCTGCCAATGTTCCATTCCATTCTCTTGCTTTGTGATGTTTGGCAGCGGAGGAGCAGTCTGACAGAATGTTGTCTGACACAGAAGTGCATATGAAGTAAAGGTGTGTCACTGAATTCCTCCATGTGGAAACAATGGCACCCATTGACATTCATTGATGCTTGCTGAATGTTTTTGGAGACCAAACACTGAATGTGAGTACAGTGAGGTGGTGGGTGGTGTGACAGAAGAGGCAACAGTGACAGTGGTTCACCTCTGCTGGTACATATTTTTCCAAGTGCAGCATGCAAGCTCTTGTTCATGGCTGACAAAAATGCATATCTAACGGTGATGAATATATTGAAAAATTGGGTTTTGTAGCTGAGAGTTTGCTCTATCAAATAGTATTATATTATTGTAGTTTCCATGGAAATAAATATGAACCGTCACTTTTGGAGCAACCTGTGTAATTTAACTGGAAATTTAAAACCTGTGTGTAACAAAGAGAAGATTAATGTAACAGAAGAGCTTTCAAATAAGAGTAGCAAAATCCTAATTTGATAAAGCCCAAATCCTAATTTAGTTAAAACAGAATTTGATCTGCTTATGAAAGGGATTATGTATGTGGTTGCCTGTAATTACCAAAGGAAAATGGAATACCTCAGCAGGCCCATTCCATTCTCATATTTTTAAAATGCCTTCTATAATTTTGTATTCATTTTGATACCAAATGGGGATGGTTTTTGAGCTTAAGATATGATGAAAAAATTAAACTGTTCCTTTCTTAACTCTTTTGTATAAAAACAGCTGTAAATTCAATCTTTGTAAAAGTTTGAGTGATTGGTCAGGTTGCCCAAATGGCAATTAAGTTTTGTGCATTCTTCTTCATTTGTATTCTTAGTTATGCTTGTATTTCTCAAAGTTCATCTTCTCTACAGGGAAGAAGAAGTGACAAAGGGCTGATGTGAGAATCAGAAATTATCAACAAAGGAAAATGCTTACAATTTCCTAGTATATATTCCTACTATATTTCATTAGTATAAAATTTCTCCATCTTCTCTTATCTGCCTGCTCATTCCAAAACTGAAAGACCTGCAAAATATTTTTTTAAAAGGAATTCACTGTATTTTCAGCAGGAAAATTTGTGAAAACATGATTGTAAGATCTTACAGTAACTTTCTCTTCCTTTGAAATGACAGAGATAATTAAGAACGTATTTATGTACTGTGTAACTTTATAACTGAGTTCACTAACGGTTATCTGTGAAAAGACTATGGAACACTTGGTCCCAGTTACCATAATTGTCATAACCAGGATAGAACTGATTAAAATTAAATTGCAGGTCCATCGGCTGTAGGCTTCTAAGAAAACATCAATTCTTTTGAATTTAGAAGGAGTATTAGAAAGACAGATAGCTTGTTCTAAATTTTCAAAAATCAAAATTCTCCTGAGCAAAAAATGTGTAAGAGTGTAAGAACTAGGTAGCCTATAGTGATATATTATGTATTATATGGAGTCCTTGTTTTCAAACCAACACAGGAAAACACGAAGATTTATGATTAATTAATCTAAAACAGTTACAGGTACATCTTATCTGACAAGTGGTTTGTCATTCGTAGTCTGTAAAACTAAACAGTTTTAGCATCTGAAATGCTAGAAGAATGACACTGTTATCTGATAAGATGTACTAACAAACAATCATAAAAATAGGTATTGGATAAGGTGAATTGAGGTCTTTAACAAAATGAATTTACTATTAGTAGACTTTCATTCTTCCTGTCACCTTTGAAAATACAGTGACATTTTTCTCTCAGGATATAAAAGAGTCCATTCCTTTTTATGTGATTTATGGGAGGTGGAAGGTCAGTTTTAGTAGTGTGTCCCAGATGTATCACTTTTAGTTGACAAAAAAAAACAAAACACAAAAAAAACCAAGATTACACTAAGTCTTAATTTAACTTATTTATGCCCATAAAATATCTGACATCGTAAGTACAGCCCTGTTAATCAATCTTCCCTTCTTCACAATGCTTTTAGCTGGCTTAAATCCTGTAGCAAAGCCGTGATCTGGTTACTGCTAAACCTTGGAAATTTGAATTTGATTGTAATTTTTCTAAACCTTGTAATTTCTCTTCTGCAAGTCTAAAATTCAAAGGATAACAACTAAATTCACAGATTCTAATTTTGGCCATCCAAATGTTAGGCCTCGGTCTAAGATCATTCTGAATGCTTCCAACTTTGTTAAGATTCCAGAGAAAGAAACAAACTGTTAGAGGGTAATTTGCCCAAATTATTTTAAAGATGAATTCTAGGGATGGAATTAGTTTCTTCTTCTTTCTCTATTATTCACACAAGGAACTTCTGATTAGTTCATAGGGTCGTAGATACTCCTGCTCCTCCCAAATATGTGCTACTTCTAGTTGAATTCCATGTGAGACCTTCTAGTACTGCAGGGCTAGCACAGTAACAACAGTCTGGATGTCTGTCTGAAAAGTCTGGCTCTGGAAAACATGTGAGGAGACTGAGTACCTCTGAATGTTGCTTTTTTCTCATCATTTTTTTTTAAATTACAGCCTAGTTTTGGTTTCTCAGGTTATTTTTTTGTGTCTTTTAGGAGAAGCATAATCACTATACACAGAATTACAGGTGTCTCAGAAGACTTCTCTACTGTTTCTAACATCGAAAAGGACATTGGCAGAGCCTGTCTGTCATGGTTGTTGCTTTGTGTGTCCTGCTAAGATCTCTATGAAGTCCTAGACGTAAACTGGTGATTTTGAGAATGCTCATGTTTCCCTAAGGCACTAACCTTCATCAGACAATTTTAGGCTTTAATCAAATATGAGGTGCCTATTTTGATAGCACTTGAAACATATTTCATTTTTGATTTCCAATACTTTGATCTTCTGTAGAAAAGGTGGGAAGGGGTATGTGAATGGAGAGTTATCCCTAAATGGAAAAAGTTGTTTACATTATCAGTCACTTAAGTGGAAGTGGTAGTACTCAGCATGGGGAAATTAAAAAGACACTAAGACTACATGCTAACATGTTATACATGGTCATATTGGTTAGAAAAAAGACAGAAAGATTTCCCAAATTTTTTTTCTGTATCTGTTTGTTTTAACTTTTTTTGTTGTTAAATTTTGCAGAACCCTTAATTTGGATGTGAGGAAATGGATGTGTTTAAGAGAAAGGGCCACTAAGAGAGGCCCTTTATCAGGGCACCATGTCTGGGGTTTGAGGGCCTGAGCTCAATTTTCACTTCTGATAGTGCTTTCTTGACTCAGAGTGAACAGTTTACTTTTTCTTGGGCTGCTTCTGCAGTTAGAAAATTAGACTACTCCTGAACAGGATTGTAGGAAGACTACATTATTCTTTGTGGGGTGCTCATGCATGGCACTATGTGACTGCAAAATACAGGTTTATCAAGATCCGAATGACAAAAAGGAGCTTCAGTTTTTCGGTCTATTACTTTTCCTTGCATGGCAGAATGGATACTGGTTACATGAAGATTTGAACAATATAAAGCAAAATAGGAAGGAAAAGAAGAAAAATTCTGTTGAGAGAACTTTTCTGAGATCTGATTCCTCCTGCAAATAAAATTAATCATGGAATGTGGTAACATTAATTTCCTTGTAAAATAACTGAGCCAGTTTTTAATTGTCTGCTTACAAAGATTTGCATTGAACTAGAACTGATCTTAGTATCATTTTCCTTTCAAGGAAATATGCTGTACAAATTTTCTTGACTGAATGCCCGCTTCATTTTGTATTTTTGGTCATATGCTAGCATCTGGTATGTTCAGTTAAATAATCTGTAGATATTACTGTCCCCTGGAATAAAAGATCTGGACTTCAGAGCAAAACATATTCCTTCTTCTGATATAAACCCTGTACTTTTTAAAAAGCATACATTTAAAAAAAAAAAATAAAAAAAGCCTGCAAAACATATGTACTTTGAGTACATACCATTGCTATAGTGTAGGAAAACAGCCACCATTTTTGTGCTAAATTTTAACTGTAGCAATAGAGTAACTGTTAAACTGAGAGGCAGACAATGTAAATCCAGAAGCAAGTAATATGTATATTTCTACCATCTGGGCTTTTGCTCTTTCCAATATTTGTTTGCTAGTTCATTCCCCTATCTATAATCTAGAGGTTTATGGCAAAGTAAACCTATTAATCCTAACAACCATATTTTCATTTGGAAGCTGGACCAACTGTCAATAAACGTTGAAAGAGCTGCTCAGTCTTCAGAGGACATGTGTTAAAGGAGAGGATTCATGCATTACACAATTGCTGGAGAAAAAAATCTTTATTGAGCTTATTTGTGGCTGTTATTGCTCATGAACCTTGCCGGCCTTCCCTCATATTGAGAGGCTGAAGACTTAAAATGCCATCTCTGAGGATTTTTCTGTGTGTGTCTTACTTTAGACCTGTATTTCAGCATGGTCTTCATCTTTTATATTATTCAGAAGTTTTTTTAGGTTTAGGTCTATGACCCATCCAATGGTGAGGAGTCATTTCAAACTTGACAAAAGTTGGTTGATGTCAGTGAATATGCAAGTACTCAACTGCAGTCTTTCTACTGAATTCTGTGTATTTTGCCTTACTTCACTGGGGTGAAACTGCGTCTGTGAGTAACATAAACATATCTTTCCCCACAGTTTTTAGTTCAATTCCTGAGACTACTTATGTGACAACATAGTAATCAATATGTGAAAATCTGCAATGAATGTTGTCATTACCATCACATAGTCCACTATTTCAATTTATGCTTTCACTTTATGGTACTTTATGATCAGGAAGTAACAGAGTAGCAGTTTTATTTTGGGAGTATACTGCTTACTTGTGTTTGAACAGCCTACATTTTTACAATATTTATGCACAAATGGAATGTGTGATATGTAGCTGAAAATGAAAAGGCATATCTAAATTTTAAGCAGTGTTTGTGCAGAAAGAAGTCCTGTGATTTTGCAAAAAAATGTGTAAAATTTAAGGCATTAGAATTACTAAGGTAACTTTGAAATGCCACACTACGCTACATTAAGCTATGTTACATTGCGTTGTGTTGTGTTGTGTGATGTGATGTGATGTGATGTGATGTGATGTGATGTTATGTTATGTTATGTTATGTTATGTTATGTTATGTTATGTTATGTTATGTTATGTTATGTTAGTGGTCTGATTTTCAAAAATTCTCATTCCTTTGGATGCAATAAGATAATCGTAGAGTTTAAGTATCTTGGCAAATTAATGTTTTGGATTAGAAGGTCATGGATTTTATGTTCTATCGATGTGTAGGATTTCTAGGTGCCAGGCACTACTCTTACATGAAAGTTGATTCTCGGTGGTGGTAGTAATACAAGTACTCATCTACATCTAAACTTCTTTTTCAAAATGCATATTGGCTAATGTTTATAAACATGACAAAAAAAATTTAACATGGAACGTCACCCATAGTATTAATGTTATCTCACATGAGGCTTGCCTTGTATTTTCACAGGTGATTTCAGAATGATCTCCTGGACATATTATCCTGCTTCTCAGGCTCTCCAAGTCGTTGTCATTAAGCTGACTCCTGTGATTCTTTTATCCTGTATGCCAACTTTGTAGTCAAGGTAACTGCACTATGCAGCAGCATTCCCAAGCTTGCTTTCAAGTAGGTGTTTTACACAAGAATACTGTGTCATGCACACCAATGTCAGTGGCACAAATTTTCAGTAGCAGTTGGACAACTGCACTCTTCCCCAGCTCACTAGCACACAGACTGCACTGACACTTCATGGACGACATGTAGACCTGCCTGTCAGAGCCTGCCATCTGAGGAGTAAGAGAACAGCATCCAGTAATAATATTCTGTGATGTTCAACAGCACTTCCATCTGTGGTTATAAACAATTTACAGCAAAACAGAAAAGTACCTACTGTTCTCAACTTTTTTTTTTTTTTTCCTTGCAACCTCATGCTTCTTTAATCTTCTTAGGATTTTTCTCAGTTTGTTTTTCAGGAGTTTATTTGATTTATGGTTTTATTAATTTTCCAAGAACTTTTGCTAGTAGCATGATTTGCCTGTGTTTTTCCAACAGGAAATGAGATCAAGACTGGTGCGTGATGCCAATTTTCAAAATTTTATTAACAGCAGAGAAATGTTTCTTGGAGAAGAGTTGGGTTTTGCCACCTGTGTTCTCAGTCCTGAAGATAGTTTTCTCTGAGTACTTGAGCAAATCGCTTCACAACACTCCACCTCAGTTTCCTTCTTTTTATAAATGGGGATAATAATACTTGACCCAGCCTAGAAAAACAGTTGAAAACACAAATGGGAGTGATAGCTGTTATATCTGAGCCAAATCTTGGAGCCCTGTTGAGGTTTTCACAAAGTAGCTTTTGATGTCCTATTCATCATTCTCCAAATTTTAGGGAAAAAAAAGCAAACATCTAATTGAATTTGATGGAATCCTTCACTTCTTCACTTGGATAGCATCTAAATTGTCAGCCAGAGTTTGCTTATGTGTATGCTGAACAAAAACTCTAACGCCTTTATTGCTGAAGTCTCTAAAAGAGTAAGTCACTTTTCACTACAATCTGAGAGAATGTCCCCTCTGTCATCTACTGGATTCAATGTGTTGGATTGGGTGTTCAAGAAGAAAAAAGGCAACCAAAACCCAAACTGAAATACCGCATTACTCAATGGAAATTTACTTCCAACTGTTTTCAGTGTTTTTAGGGTTACCCTTGTTACAGAACAGCAGTTGCTTCTTCCAGTTGGCTCTAACACAGTACAAAATGTCTCCTTGCACAAGCCTAATGCTAGCAAAAATCATATTTCTTTACTAAAACATTCTAGCTCTAATGTGATTCATTTTTTACTCATAGCATATGATTACCTCTTTTAGAATGAATATCAGTCTCTTGATAGAGGTAAAATACTGGAGTCATGTCCTGTTTCCTGGAATTTTTGTCTGATAGCTGTTCGAAGTTCTGGCCCTAAGCCATCCAAGTAGTGAATTTAGAGCAGATGCTGAGAGTGTTCTAACTCTCAGTCTTTTAGAAGTAATGTTTAAGAAAATTGAACAGTCTAATTAATCTTAAAAAGAGTATTCAACTCATACTTTTTCTTCCTAACACCACTAGCAAAAGGAAAAATAACAATTCCACTTCTAGTCTTTCCTTCAACCACTTCAGGGTGATCAGAGAGCTTTTCTTGTCTCTGAAGAATTGACTCACTATGATACTTTTTAGAATGGGTTATTTTGATTGCACTTTCTGCAGATAAAACTTTCTTCTCTAACGTGTATATTTGAATTCTCAGTTTATTATGTTCCTGTTGCTGTTCTTAGTGGACCTCTAATGTTTACAGAGTGAAAAGAAGAGGGAACTTGTTTTTAGTCCCATATTTGTGTCATATGACGCTGTAACAAGGAAGACTGATCTGGGTGTGAAAGCTGTGCATGGAAGGTCTAGATAACATGCTGATACTGTATCCACTGGGAGGATACAGTGAGAAAATCCTTGGAACTCAATATAGACAAGGTCACTGTTTTAATGGCAGTATGTGGAAATTCACGTTTAGCTCCAGAGAGAGCTCTTCTATAAGTTTTGGAGAAAACCCTGCAGGTAGTAATATTTTCCTATATACCAATAGATCCCAAAATACCTTATAAAAGCATCCATCTATAGGAAAACAAATAAGCCTCTGTTTGGTAGCAATATAATCCCCGTAGATAACCAGTGCA